TAGTGCTCCCCGGCAAGCTTAGTAAGGTAAAAGGGTGCCCTATCATGAATCTGAGGATGGTGTTTCACCTACTGTACCCAGCTCAGAGATCGTGCCTCTCACATCAGCTGTGATCATGGATTGAAACCATGAACGCTTAGCTGTGAGTTAAGAGCACTGTGTCAGCCCTCTGAAAAGCCAAGTGACCTACTTTCTTGCCTTTTTTATTCAAATTGCTGGACCAAGCCTTGTAATCAGATAATATGTGCTTGATGAGTGTTGAATTCCATTAGCTGCTCTATAATAACTGAGTTAGAGGTCATATATCTTGTAAATTTCTGACTTGACACCATTTGTGTTATAGCATTACCAGTAAATATTTCTAATTAAAATTTCTTAAACAATGTGTGAAATCTTCTTCTACTCTCTGAACTGCTGTCTTAACTGTCACATCAAAACAAATTGGACCTACCCGTCTGTTGGTTGTATCCTATGAATGAGCTTAATCTCCTGCTGCAGAAAATGTGAATGATACAGATGCCAAGCATTTAGTATGGGAAAATACGAGTATTATTTTAAGCATATGAATAAATACAATCTACATTCATCTCCCACTGTCCTGGGGTACAGTACCATGTGCCACATAAAAAATATGAGGTGCCCTGCTAAATAGCTACTGCAGAAGTTTTGGTGTCTGAGCAGACTGTTTGTCCCTAAAGAAACGTGCACATCAGTTCTTTGATAAAAGTGTAATCATCGTGCCTCTTAACGGCAGCCATTTCCTTACGTGAAAGACAGACAAACCCAGGACATGGTTTCCTTTTCAGAGCTGTGAAGGGAATAATTTTAGGGGGCTTTTTAAATAAATCTTGTTAATTTAAAGGAAACATTAATCTTTGAGCTGAGACATGCCCCACACCACCCATCCCCCATTATTTTTTTTTTATAAACCTGTTACATTGCTGCAGTATAAAGTTTTTTTTTAAAAAGTTGTTTTTCTGCCATTTCTTAAACTGCATGAAAGGGTTACATGTTGCTTATCTCTTTCCTCTGTTTTCAGACTGAGCTGCTTGACCTCTCCACGGTAGATGTAATCTTGATCTCAAACTATCACTGCATGATGGCATTGCCCTATATCACAGAGTACACAGGATTCACTGGAACAGTGTATGCCACTGAGCCCACTGTTCAAATCGGCAGGTAAAAAGCCCCTTAATATTCTCTTCTCCTCTTGCATCACTGCTAAGGAAAAGGTGTAAAGGACAATACGGGTAGAGGAGTGGAGTCTAATGTTCCGAAGAGGCTCTTAGGCAGTAGCTGAATGCCAGCCAAGTCCTTAGTGCTGCAAATGTGTTAACTCAATGTTTCCCAACCTCTGGATCCATCTGTCTTCAACACTTACAGCAGGTGCTTTGTGTTGAGTCCAGGCAGTAGCTGTGGGATAGTAGATCTTGAGTGGACTGAGACACCTTGAGCAGCAATTACCCTATAGCCAACTTCAGTCAAAAACCATGAATCAAAGATCTCTCCTGCTCCTCTCTGCTCCCCTGAAACAAAAGAGGAACCACCAGTCTTTTCAACAATAAGTGACTTTTAAGATTATTGCCGTGTAGTTTTCCAGCATTCAAAATTCTTATAATCACGCTTTCTTCCACACCATGGAAGGGAATTTAAGCTGGCTTCATCTCAAATGACAGTTGAGATACATAAGCTCTGAACTCCAAAAAGAAGCACTAAGAAAAACAGCAGAAATATGAGACTGAAGTAGAACATGTAAGACCTGACAATACAGTCCCAAGTTACTACTTGGTCATCAAATTTGGCAGTCTTTTCTTAAAAGTTGTCTGTTGATTGGATAAGTAATATCAAAGGCTGCAGGCTTAGCCCTCAATGAAGTTAACTGGACTTGTGCTGTGTGCATCTCTCACGCAGAACAGCTGCTATGTTCAGTAATTAGAAAGCAGATTAGGCCATGGTATCTGAACGACTCTGTAAGCACTTTAGGGCAGGAATCTTTGTCTATTAAAGGTCCTATACAAACTTTCCAGCCAGAGTAATTCTCCCTTTGTGTAAAAACAAACAGAAACTGAAGGCCCGTGTAAGAGAAAGGAATTGTATGAATATGAACTAGTAGTAGAACTCTCGGGTATTGCTGGCCCATAGCTGAAGGTAACAAGCATAGTCTTGTTGGAGACTATACTGGCATGGTTCTCCCCACCCCAAGTAATTCCAGATGCTATTGTTCTGCAGTTAAATCTGTCACTTCCCACCTTCAAGGGGAAGCATGCATACAATTACAAATGCTGTTTAGTTTTGGACAGTGACATCTGTAGTGCCAGTTTTTAATGCCTGACATATTTTTCTGTCTCAAATGCTGCATTGTGCATTTGTAGATGAGGAGAGTTCATTCTGACAATGTGCTTGGTTTCTCTAAGTGATAAACAGGCATCAGCTAATGGTTTTTCTTCATATATGTTGTCTTATTCTGTATGACAAGCAGTCAGTAATATAGAATTCATCTTGCACAGCAGGAGAGAGATTTGGGAGTTCCTCTTGTCCTGCCACTTTTCAAATAACCCATAACCCATAACCCAGTGGGCCAGGTCCTTTGCTGTCGCAACCATGCAGACAGAATTGGACTAACTTGAGCTTCACGCACTCAGTGGGGAAAGGGGGGTAGTATTGGTGACGGGTAATTGCTGTGATGCCTCTGCGGGAAGAACCTCTCTAAAACTGCCTGACAGTGTTACAATTTGTGTAATATTTTGGAAGCTTTTGGGACAAATTTCTCTCCTGTGCGAAAGGCTGCAAAACTAATTTAGTTACGATGTCTTTTCAGACTTCTCATGGAAGAACTGGTGAATTCCATTGAACGTGTGCCAAAGGCTCAGTCTGCCTCCATGTGGAAGAACAAGGAGGTACAGAGGTAAGGAACAAGCCACCGGGAAAAGGTGACAGTCCTAAAACACTAACCAAAGTTTAGAATTCCCTGTAATGATGGGTCAGCTGCCACCAGTTGAGGTTTGCTACTACCATTAAGCAGAAAAAAAAAGCCTAAGAGGTTTACAGCTATGACTCCTTGAGTCGGTTCTTTCTTTAATCGTTTGCACGTTGTTGGTCTTCCAAATAACCACACAAGTTTGATTCTTGGAGGAAGACTTGGTAACACGAAAGTCTCCCCTGATCTCCCCTCACGTAGTTTAGCTCCATGATGGTAGATAAAACCTGCAGATTTTTGTATTAATTAATTGAAATTAGCAAGCTATTGAAACTTAATTCTATTATATTGGAATAATTTTAATTTAAAATTATATTTACATTCATTTTTGCTGAAATGCAAAGTCAAGACGCAACTGTTGGATGTCACTGGTGGCCAGCCACAGGGCAGTGCTACCTTTCTTCCCAGGACCGCAACCTCGTTTACACTTGAACAGCAGAGCTGGGGGTTTTTGGCTTTTCAAAGCTTAGAAGCAAATTGAAATCTGAATAAAAAGGGTTAGTTGGAAACTCTGTGTCCATTATTCCACCTATACATAAAAACAAGGTGCTCAAAATTGAGGTCTTCTACACATCTAAAATTTTGAAAGCTATGTAATCTAAAAATTATCCATACAGTTTACTAATTATAGATAATGCTTTCCTGGGAAATAAAAACAACTTTCACAACATGTTCTATGGAGGAGACAGTTTCATTTTAGCACATTTTAAAGATAGGGCCGGTTGATTAGTGAGTTATTTTTAAAAGCTGCTTTGTGCATTTTTAATTGATCTCCCATTTTCTAATCCTAATTCTTAAAGTGGTGTCGTGGTTTAACCCCAGCTGGTAACTAAGCCCCATGCAGCTGCTCCCTCACCCCTCCTCTCCTCAGTGGGATGGGGAGGAGAATGGGGAAAAAAAACCTCATGGGTTGAGATAAAGACAGTTTAATAGGATAACAAAGGAAGGTGATGATGATGATGATAATAATAATACGTAACGATCCCACCTCCCAGCTAGCTTCCCCAGCTATACACGGTGCATGACGTTCAATGGTATAGAATATCCCTTCAGCCAGTCTGGGTCAGCTGTCCTGGCTCTGCTCTCCCAGCTGCTTGTGCACCTGGCAGGGTGTGGAAGCTGAAAAGTCCTTGACGTATGTGTCAGCACTACAACCACCCAGCAGCAACTAAAACATCAGTGTGTTATCAACATTATTCTTACCCTAAATCCAAACCACAGCACTGTACTAGCTACTAGAAAGAAAATCAACTCTATCATCTCAGCTGGAACCAGGATACGTGTCTTGATGTAAAAGTTTACTAAAAATTAAGTAGTCTTGATATTGTCCAATATCACAAAGCAAAGAAATTAAAAATCCCAATTAACATATGTTTAGCTATATAATATACTCCCCTGCTGAGCTTAGGAGCAATCTTATCTCAGCATTATAGCTCTCACTCTTCTGAGGGTGGCAAGTAAAACATAGATGTAAAACAAAACTAAAGACAATAAAGTTGATCAGGATTTTGTGCAGGTTGATGTATACTCTGATCAGAATAGTGGGGTCTTTTTTAATTTTGGAGTCCGATGGCCTGACCTGAATCACTTTTGAAGCTCACAGTGATACGAAGATAGAGGACTGGAGACATTATTCTCGTCACAGTGCCGCATGTGTTTTGTATGCATGGTTTAAAGGAGGATCATATATCTTGGAGCTCACTTAATGTCACTTTCCTGGTGGTCGTATTTTAGAAAAAGTGCTACCTAGCACTTTGTGTGCTGTTGACTATTCCAGAGGTGAACACAGAGAGGTGATCTTTGTTCTGATTCAACTGCTATGGAAGGCTAGAGTCTTTTTGTTGGAGCAGTGTTTAAAATACATTTTTCTGTCTTGTGTTGCTTGAGAAGTACTCTAACATTGATGGTTCCTCCTGGGTACTCTCAAGTACCTGTTGCAATGGGGTACCAGTGGAGGCAGGAGGAATGTATAAGACCCCACCTCTGGGGGTAGGCAGGACCAACCCTTCTGTCCCACTTACAGGACCTCTGCAGAGACAGAGCACCGCCACAACAGGGCGTGTTGTTGGGAACCTTGATCGGATGGCAGGTCCCTGAACTTCCAGAAGTAAAATGCACACTTTGCCCAAATAGGAGATAGAGGCAGAGCAAAGAAATGCTATGCTAGTGGGGATAGCAAAATGTAACTGCTAGCCCTGCAGCTGTTTAGTAACGTAAGTCTACATATCATAAACTCTGCCTTGAGGCTGGTACAAGCCAGTGTTGTCTGTGAGCTGGAACAGGGCGACAAATCTGAATTCTCTTTCCAACTGTGCCCCACCTGTGCTCTGAGTTTCCCCCTTCAGCTCCCTATGCTTCTGTAAAACAGAGCTCCTATCCACCATAGAGGGTATACAGGGACTTAATTAATGTTTGCAAAGTGTTTTGAGATTCCTGGTGACAAGTGTCACGCAAGCGTGAATGGAACTGATTATTATACCATGTGAGCAAATATCTACCGATCCACAAATTAACACCTGGCTAATAGCACATGCAGGGTTGGACTGACATCCGTTATTTAAGAAAATGTGATCCTTGGTGATTTTTTTTTTTTTTTAATACTTGGCTGTTGCGAGAACAGAATACTTATTACTTCTGAGTCTAACTTTAATTTTTCAGGCTGATCAATCACCATTACTGCTTTACAGTTCAGCTAGTTCTACTCTGAATAGTTAGTATAAAACACAAAGTATTATCATCTTCATTAGATAAAGCATTGAAGCATTTTAAATGCAAATACTGTATAAAATATAATAAGTTCATTATAGTGGCTTACATTTTGCCATTATCAGATCCAGTCTGAACTAATTGCTTAGCAAGTTTTATTACCGTTGTTTTTTATTTTAAATGAGCAATCTCATGGAAGCTCTATAGATGCTCAACCAGGATATCTTTCATGCTGATTGAGATTCAGGAGGCTAAAGAGGAAGTTTGCCTTATGAAAGACACTTGGTCGATTACCTGTTTGATGGTTTCTTCCGTCTTTCTATAAAGTGTCTGAAAAGGCTGTTTCCTGAGACAGACTAGCGGACAAGAGAGTACAGCATTTCAATCTAGTTTGGTACTGGTATCCTCCTCTCCCTTTAGACAAGAACATGTTATGTCATATACTAAATGTTATCCTTCCATTGAAGAGAAGAAACTGTCTCTCTACAGATGCCCAGTTAAGAATACAAACCTCTGAGTTTCTTAAGCATAAGTTTTGTATACTAACCACTGGACCATGCTGCTTCTCGATACCTTCCTGTTTGTGCTGCTCACATACATCTGGTTGTTATGAGGTGGTCCATAAGAGGATGCCGCCACAGTGTTGGTAGATTCACTCCAGACTTTAAAATATCCCCTAGTAACTTTCTGTACAGATTTTAAAAGCGTGGGGGACAGGTAGAATGCCAGCAGGGGCACATCTGAGGAACCAGCAGTCCTCATTGTCTCTGTGTGCCGCTCAACAAAGAAGGAAACCACTGGAGACTGGTGCCACTGGTCTCTGTTAGGGATCAGAGTATATTTACAGCGTAGCCACAGAGTCAAGGCTAATAGAAACCTTAGTTCAATCACCAAGGACAATTCCCCACTTTTCTCCATTACCTGGAGATATATTCTCCTCTTCCCAGAAGAGCAGCTCCTGAAAGCATCCAACACTAAATGCTTCTTATGGTAGGTTAAAGGCTTTTACAGGCAATTTGCTTCAGTGCAATGGTGGACAACTATCCACGTTGTTTGGCCTTTTGTTGCTTCTGACTTCCCAAAACAGACCTTGAACGCTTTGTTTGTTTCCTTAAGCACAGTATGCTTTCAGCCAGCATGTGCTGGAATTACAGTTATCGCACTAGACCTGTACAGCGGTCTTGGCAAAAGCTGGCCTTAATCCTTTCTTCAGTATCTTAAATTATGGAGGAGTTCACTGACCTAGTAGATAGAACAATAAATTAAATTCCTTTAAACAAATTGATCAAAGAAACTTGACCAATTTCCATAAATCTTTGGAAATTGGTTTGAATTAGCCTTTGATTTAGCATTGGTTTAATATACAAAAAAATCCTATTCTTCTTATGCATTTGGCAGCTGTGCTGCTTCCTGCCTCAGTTCATGTTGCTAAGGAAGATTTATTTCCCAGAAGTTAGCCATCTCTCTTACAGCCTGTGACATTACAGTTCACTTCTTCCCTTGACAACGCTGTCCAGCTAACTTGCAATGTCTGCGAAGAGCTGAATGGATGGATTTTACTTTGGTGTAAAACATCTTAAATACTTCCGTGTAGGGGATTTCAAAGAGCTCTGCAGTGTCAGCTAATGTATCCTTCCTTGCCAGTACACTCGGAAGGCGAGTGGGGTATCTTGAGTTGAAGGCAAAGAAGCCGAGAGGCAGGGGCACGGGCTCTTGCAAGACACTGGTGACAAAAATGAGAGCAGAGCCAGCCTTTGTTCATGGTCTGATACCTGTATTTTAATCACAAGATTGTGGCTTCCTTTTGTTTCTGAATTCTTAGGATATGCAAAATAGACACTGATCTAAGATCCCAGTCATCTTTACCAGTTCTAGTGGTGCATTTCATGTTGCCATGTCAGATCAGCCAACAGCTTTCGTCAGTGGTGAAAATACCACAAGAGTTGCTATAACACCTTCATCACAGCTACTTCTTTGATGAAAGGGCTGAATAGGAACAACAACAGAGAGAGCTGAAGGAGACTGGTCTTTGGGGTGTGGCAAAATGGGCAGTGTAGTTCGGCTCCTCAACAGGCAGAAAGTCTCATTTCTCACTTTGAAGCACCAGCCATATTTGAAATAAAAAGGAAAAAAGAGAAAATTTAAGATCTGGAGGATGTAAATGGGAATAAAAGCTGGTGGTCCTTCAGGAAGTTCTGAAATGCCTGCACCCCGTTGATCTTTGCAGATTGCTGCCTGCCCCGCTGAAGGACGCAGTGGAGGTGTCTATGTGGAGGAAGTGCTACACCATGCCAGAAGTGAATGCTGCACTCAGTAAGATCCAGCTGGTGGGGTATTCTCAGAAAATTGTGAGTACCTGCAAAGCTGTCCCTCAGGTCAACAGTAACAACTTGTTGTTTCCCAGCTTTTCTCTGGAAATGCCCTTCCTTTTTTATTTTCCCTCTAGATCTTGTGTAAGGTCTAGTTACCCTAGCCTAGGAAAGCAAGACAAGATTATATCGAATATGCCTCAGTCTGCGTCCCAGGAAGGGTTCTTGTTTGGTGAAATCAGGGAGTATCCATTTGTTTCTCCTCTTCCTTGGGGAGGCCAATTTTAAGGCAGCGAACCTGTGAATTTGGAGCTGATGGTTGGCCCACTGAGAGCTGGGAGGATGTACCAAATGAATGTATCCTCTCTGTCTGTAAGCCACATCCCCTTCTGAGTTACCGTATCTCACTTCTGGGAATCTTTTGAGTGCTTTAGCCTCCACTTTATTTTATACTGCAAATTAGGGATTGTAAACAAAACCTAATGGTTCGACCTGAACTTCAAAAACTCCTTTCCCAGGTTGCCCAGCTAACATGTTGTCTATAATGCCATTGACTATAATCCAGGGTAGTTTCTAGAATGAACTGAACCAACAATTCAGTAGTCTGCAGATATACTGTTCCCTTATGGCTTGTAGGCAGCATGTTGGCCATGATACTTGCTATTGTTGCTCAGGGCTGTAAGAAATAAAAAGGTGGATTAAAGTAAGTTGTGTGCCCAAAGCTTTTTATTTGCTTCCTTTTCTTAAGCAATGGACCACTGAAGTTTGGAGGCTACTGTTAATGATTAAGATAGATAGTTTGAAAGAGTAACCAGTGCTGCTGTGTATGAAATTTGGTGGATTTGTGTTACAGCTGGTGAAAAAAGACCCCGAGTCACCACTAACGTGGCTGCTGACATAAGTAACAGCTGCAGCTTTGTCTAGGAACTGGACAGGTTGAGGGCATTTGGATTCCTCGGTATCCATAGGTGATTACTGTTCAATTTTGACTATCCTTACTGTGTGGATGCATCTCACACAGATGTGCATCTGAGCCAATCATTCCTTCATAGTTACTGAGAAAAATGAGACATTTTTAGAGCATGTTTTATCTCTTCCCAAAGCAAACTTTTAAAATAATCAAACCCTTATTAGCCAGTTAACCCAAAATATGACAGCATCAAGAATGGTTTGTTGTCCACTTTACATGTCTGCATATCAGCAGAATCTAAAGCCTTGGTTTACACACTCTGAGGGAAGGAGTCCCTGGTTTTTTTTTTGCAGGGAATCCAAATATGTATTGAGATACTGGAAAAATCATTACTGTTGCATGAATGAGGTACTTGTTCTATTATTCAGTAACCAGAAAGTAGATCACATTAGTGAGGTATACATGGAGGCTTACTTTCCTTTCTCAAAACAAGTATAACACATCACTGTGTACAGATAAAGCAATACACTTTCTAATTACACCTGGAAAGGAGACAACTGTCATGCTGCTTATGCTCAGAGCTGAAACTGAAATTTGGATTGAGTTTGCCGGGAGTTGTTTCTAAATCACCAGTAGATAACATTTAAAAAGAAATAAAGTTAGAAAGTGAGTGAGTTTGAATTTGTTTATGTTTTCCACAGCAAAATGTGTAACCCAGACAGAGTTTTATATTAGTACAGAACTACTTGTCCTTTTTTTCCCTCCTGCTGGCCAATAAAATTTGGCTAAGGGACTGTAGAGTCTTCAAAGATGTAAAGCTTCTTCAGTACAGCAAAGGCAGGCAGAGGATCAAGATCACGGTTGATTCCTCCATTTAGAGTTATGGTTCAGTGTGACCTCAGATGCCATAGGATACACATGGAAGAGAGACTTTATGAAGGCCCTACCTCAGGAAAAGCTTTTCTCAGAGCATGGGTCCTATTAGAGACAGGTAAATAAAAACAGCAGACATAAAGCTCGGGAAACTAGCTACATAAAGGCTTGGAATAGCAGAACTACTTTTAAAATTGCTATCACCGATAATAAAGTGATTCTAAAATGACTTGTTCTGAGTTCTCTTGGGGGCTTGCTCAAGTTAATGTCTCTTACTGTGTGTTTCAGGAGCTGTTTGGTGCTGTGCAGGTCACCCCTCTCAGCTCAGGCTATGCTCTTGGAAGTTCCAATTGGATTATCCAGTCGCACTATGAAAAGGTTTCCTACGTTTCAGGATCTTCTCTGCTTACAACGCACCCTCAGGTACAGCCACTGACTTTTGTTAGTCTTCTATAGGGGGAAGTGTCTTTGCTCAAAAAAAATAGCGGGGCTTATTGCAGCTGGAATCAGGTGTAGTATAGAAGCTGTACTAAGGCACCTCTGTTAGCAATTGGCTAGACTTAACAGGCATTGAGAAGACATCCTACCCTGATATGTGGACAGTGAAAGAGAACTGAAATTCTTTGTTATCAATGATTTGATGTTAGCTTACTCACCAGCTGTGAAATTCTCCTTCACCTTAAATAGGAAATTTTCAACAGAGTTAAACAATAGAGCATTAGTGCCTTTTTTTAGTATCCATATTTCACTGCAGAGTCTTTACAGACAGTTCACAGACTGCTTCTATATCACTTCTGAAACATCCTTCCTTGGGAGAAATGATAGCTAACTGGCTGCCAACTTTTCCACCCCGCTCTGCTAAGGGCAAAGTCTTTATAGTGCTGTAGATGTAATTTCCAGTAAATTAATTCTCTCTAGATCCATAAATTCTTAGTGGGAAGAATGGCTTGAAGTTTGCAGTATTGTGTGCTTCAGAAGTTGTCAAAATAGTTAAAAGCAATATTAGCAGGAGGTATTTAAAAATAATTTCAAAAATGTGTTAGGTTTATGATCGGTAAGTGATTTCCCCCAAGGTGAGTATCTTCTAAAGAGCTTTGCTTCTGAGCACCCTTCATTTAAAAGCTTGATCTCAGGCACTGAACAACTCCGATAGATAAACCAGCCTTAATATTATGGCTGTACTCAGACGCCTGCAATGATCAGATCCCTTTTTGTCATCAGCCTCAGACTGGCCCGGATTGTGTTTTTCGTCACCTTCTAAGTGAAGGGGCAGCAGCAGTATTGGACAATATATGAATGGAATATTTCACTGAGGAGAAACTTTGCACTATAGGAAGTGATTTGGTAACGGAGAGTGTTTTCTCTTCATTGACATCAAATGCTGATTCATGTGTCAGGTTAGATTGGCCATGCTTCATCATTTTCCAGAGGTGAACATTTCTCTGGGTAGTTCTGGTAAAATCCCTGTTTTTAAGGAAACTCCCTCCCTGTGGCAGGGAGTGGTGTGTGAACGAACTGCCTGGTAAGAGCACAGCCCACGGGCAGCAGATCTGCATTCACTTACTGCAACCTGCAGGAGAAGTGGTAGCAGTTAGACAGGGCAGTTGCAGCTTGAACAAGTGCAGGAAAATGTACTGGAAGCCCACCTGAAACCATAGGGACTTACTCAGTTTGCTAACAAAAGATGAAATCTGGACTATTCATGCTGCTGACAGTGTTGCTTGTGCCACATGCACTCCGAGAGCCTCATTTTTTAGCCTACAGCCCATTGCACTTTGCGTTATTTTATACTAACAGTTTGAAGGAATAGTTTATCAGATAGTTGAAATTACATTGTTTTCCCTTTTCTTGTTATTTACCACATCACAAATGTTCCCAGATGTCATTTGCATATCAGATATCATCGTCTTATCATCGTCTTATATTTGCTTCCAGATGGTTGTTGAAGACAATGGATAGTTTTTGTCCTAGTGTTAATCCCTGTGAATGCCAGTACAAGCTCCTACAATATGGCAATTCGGTAATGACTAGTGGTTTTTGTGAGCTTCCAACCAGCTCTTCATCTGTTTGATGTTTGACAGACATTATGTAAAGATAACAATATCTTGAGTGGCAAAGAGTCAAAATTGTGTTCAACAAATCTGCATTTTTTCATCAGGGAGTGAAAAGTTCTTTGTCGAACCTGTTTCTCCATAGGTCATGGTGAGCAGTCATAATGAAATTCCTGTCTTTTAACAGTGTATGAAAACAGTCACTGCGTTTTGTTTTAAAAATTATATCTAGTTAATCAGCATACGTTTAGGTAAAAACACATCCAGAGCTTTTTGAATAATAGTAAAACCTTAGCACTTTTCCAGTCTTCTGGAACTCCCTCCATACATATTAAAAGTGAGCTTCAGTTGACTAGGCTCCCATCAGCTGTTTGTTTGTTTAGGGTGACAAGACACAGATTATTTGGGCATACAAATGGAAAAATGCTTCATCCTCTTACATCTTGTCTAATATACGCAGTAATAGCCTGGAAAGTATTTCCTTCTCTCAGGGTGCAAACAGGATAAGGTTCGTCTCACCTAACCGCAACTGGGCCCCTACCCAATCCATCCCTCCTCCTCCCTTCTGCCAGCACTGGGATTTAAGTGCTGACATAGTGGAGATGGCAGCATGGGTGACAATTAGCAGTCATGGGAAGAGAGTGGGATCGCTTCTTTGGTGTAAATCACAGCTTAAAGTTTTCTTGAATTAGTAAATTACAGCTAGGTTACATTTATAATCGGCAGAGAGTTATGGTACATCTGTAATAATCAGTCCATCTCTGTTAACAGCACATAGAAAGTGAAGCAGGCAGTTTATCTTAGACATGGCCCAGGATGTACAGATTAGCTGGAGCTGGGTGCAGTGAATGCTGGCAGTTGGGTTGATCTTGGATGCGGCAGCGGGACTATCTTGCGAAATCCTCAGCAGGTCTGTAGGAAGTGCAAGTGAAGGGTTCAGCAAGACTATTCATAGCTGCTGAAAATAACTGAAGAGCTTTAAAGGATTTGTTTGAGAGTTCGGTCTGGCACTATTAATTGTTCCCTTTACTTCTGCCTTCTGGCAGATGGTTTCTGTTGAAAATTTTGCCTCACCCTCTACTGAGGCTAGAATTGACACCATTGCCATTGAAGTGGAGAGCAGGAGTTGACAGCACAGGTTCAGACATGTCACTAAAAGCCTTTTAAGACATATTCTTTACATTAACACACAAAAATCGATGCAAGCCCTCTCAGTGCAATAGCAGCTGAAATTATGCGTATCTAATATGGCATAATCATTATGTACATTATCACAGGCAGATTCGATATTATTTTTTATTGCATTGGTGACATTTCATTTTCACGGACACGCTATGGAGAGTCAAAGATTGCAATAAATCTCACGTAACAGGTCTGGTCCTACGAGGTGGTGCACAGCGTAAACTTCTGTTGAAGTTGATCTGAAATTCCCCTGCATGTTTAACAGAGCAAGGTCTTTCTTAACTGCTTAAGAATGGCACTGAGGGACTGTGAGCAAGGGAATTAACTGCACAGTGATCTTCTAAGTTCAGTAGAGGAAATCTCTTCATCAGTCTCTTCTGGTAGAAATCTTTCCTGGTTGGTGAGACTGCAGAAGGTCTATTGAGAATAAATAACGATAAAGTACCACACAGCTAGCTGCAGTTGCCCACCTTTGCTTGAAGAGTAGCTGTAGGAAGTGCATCCCAGCCCAGAACAAGGCTAAAAGTTAACTTTTAGCAGTAGTGCATCTGCAGAGAGAGAAGTGGATTTTTCCTTTTCAAGATTGAATTTTGCTAACTTTTGATTTTTTGATTGCTAACTTTTGAGCATCAAGAATCTAAATCTAGTATTAGGTCACATTTAAGTATAATTTCTGAATATCTACTCTGTGTTTGCTAATGGAGAGCAGTGGGTATGCATTTTCATTCTACTGTAATAAAATGCCAGTATAAACTATGTCAAATGATTGACCTCAGTGAAAAAACCATGGGCCTTTATGTAGAGTTGAGGCAGAAGCAACGTTTGCTTTAACATTAGCCTGCCTGCCAGTGGCCAAGTGCCATGCTATTTCCTTGGACCATTTCATTGTCGTTCCCTCTGCTACATCTGTGAGTCACAGGACAGACTGTGCAGATGTAAAACCTTCGGTCCCCCAGGAAGCAGACACGGCATGGATAGATGCTTGTGAGAGCTACCTTCGGCGCTTTAACCGCATAATCGAGGATTGTACCTATGACTGTAGGTCATCAGTACAAGATGCACTGTAGACCCAGCGGATCAGAGGTCATGGCCCAGTGTAGACTTCTATTTCACTTTGACATAGCTTAGCCTCTAGCACAGTCTTCAAAGAAAGGTGTTGGAGGAGGGCATAGTGCTGATCTGATTCACTGGGGGAGACTGGTGAGCCAAGTTCTATTTTCTCTATTCTTTTAGCTCTGGCGTTGCATTGGAAGCACTACTTCTGTGTATGGGGTTTTTCTGTGCAGTTGAAGCTATGATTTTTCACCTGTTTTCAGCTACTAGCTTTTAAGGAAATAATTGTCTCTCTGGCCCGATATTAATAGCTACATTAAAAATTAATATGTATGTGATTATTTCTTAGATAAATAAACAAAATTTATCAATATTAAGGAATGTAAACCAACTTCTCTTTTCTACCAGCAGTAGCCATTTACCATTTCACAAAATCAGACTTCTAACAAGGCCTATGCAAACAACCTGAAATTAGTATTTGAAAGTCATGGTTGGAATACTGCAGGCAGAAGAGCAGACTTAAGAGTCAGGGGAGAGCCTTGTGTGGCATTCAGATTCATACACAAGACTGAGAGCTTCAAGCCCAAAGTCCTTTGCTGATCTCATCTCTTTTAAAAAGAAACCACTGAATAGCTGAGGAAAATGGCACTGACCCCTGTAGACGGTGAGCTCTGGAAATTAAAGCTGACACCTTGATTTGCAAAGGGAAGCGAGTTGGAATGCAAGTGTTAAACCCTTCCTGACTGCACTGCCACATCCTAAGCAATGATTGTCTTTTCAGTGTTCGGCTCCTAAGGCCATGGAATGATTAGTCTATGGAGACTACTTTGAGATGGATCCAGTTACAGTTCCATTGTTTGTTTTGGGCTGTAGTATGCAGGTAAACAGTTGTCTGTGTTTTTATTAACTCCAGTTCAGTTTCCAGAGATGGAGGGATGTTAAGTTTAAAGCGTTCCAGGTGTTCTCCTTCTTGGTCACTGTATCTGGTACATATTGCAGTCCTCTTGGTGCCAGGCAGAAAAACCTGAGTTGTAACTCTCACATTACTCATTTTATTTCACTGTGTTCTATTTCAGCCCATGGACCAAGCTTCTCTTAAAAATAGTGATGTTCTCATCCTGACGGGTCTTACACAAATCCCTACTGCTAACCCAGATGGAATGGTAGGAGAGTTCTGCAGCAACTTGGGTAGGTCGCTGAAAGAAGTCTTTTGCCTATTTTATCATCTTATTCATTGCTTTGGGTGGGAAATAATTCAGAGATTCCTGGAATTGAATAAGTTGTCCAGCTATAGCTTCTGGCATAAAACTAGCTGTTTAGATTTTATGATGTGCTCCTGATGTCATTAATACAGTAAGTGCTTGGAGAGACACAAGTTGTACCTAAAATGTTTTGGAATGGAACAGGTATAATGAGATTTAATCATCTGCTGCTCTTGGTTTGCTATGTCGCTTAGCTGCCAACAGACTACGTGTTGCCTAGATTTTGGATATTGTTCCCAGCTGAAATATTACTATTTCCTTCCTGTATATCAGCCAGTGTAAAATCTTTACATGCTTTTTTATGACTTTCAGTTTTGAAAACAAGCACATCTGCTTCCCTTCTTAACACCTGATTTTTAAATATTATCAAAAGCAAACAGCACAATCTCTGTTAAAAAAAAAATCAAGATATATTTATAGACCCCAGAAATATAAAACCTAATCAGACGCTTTCACAGCTGGAAAAGCTGATAATTGCAAAGCTGCGATATCAGTGTGAATGGCAGCATTTTCCAGCCTGTTCGGAATGTCACATCCAGTGCTGTTCACTCCTTTTCTCCCCTTCCCCCACCTCAGTTCCTCTGTCTCACAGGCCCGGTATGAGACTGCCATGGTAGCAGAAGGCAAATAATAGAAGGGATGTGGTAGATTTCTGTATCAACCACCATCTCTAAATCAAAATCAGATATCCCTGTTTGGGACACGTTTCAGTTCAAACTGGAGTCATAGGTCCTGTTGTGGGATGTACAAGGTAAAATTATGTGGTTTTGTTTATATGAAAAGATGAGTTACAGGGTCAGGATGACTCCTTGTAGTGTAAATACCTGTTAATGGAGTGTGTTTTGGCATTTTATAAGAATGATAGTCTTGGATTATGCCAAAGATCCTCTCTGCCAACATCCTCGCTCCAGCAGGGATCATGAGCAGATGTCTAGAGAAGAGTAGAAGAACAGAGGAGACTATGTAATACTTTCCCCTTATAATCTCATACCTTCAAGTATTTTTATTTCAGGGATTTCCTGAATCAGTCATGGCTTTTGTGTAGTTGGTAATGTTCAGCAATGTTCTCTTCCTGGAACTTGTTCAACCTCCCCATGAAGCTGTGTAAATTCTTAACACCTGCGACTTCCTTTCCTAAGCGATACATGTGTTTATATGTGTTTGTGTGTACTGCGGTCTCTGTTTTCATTGGGTTTAAGCGTTGTTAATTTTATTACCCTATGAGCTGTTGCAGATAAGCTTTGGTGACCTTGTTGTGCTAGATCCAGATGTGCTCCTTTCTCTGTCCCTTTATGGGGGTTACTGTCCCCCTGACAGATGGTAGCACGATCACACCCTATCATCTTACCTTAAACCACCAAGGAAGCAAGTCTTGAGCTGAAATGTACTTTAAATTTTGTACTGGAGAGGCCGAGGAGTGGTACATGTTGCCATGCTGCCAAGTCCGCTGCAAACATGCTCTAGCAAGCACCTTGGTGGTCTCTCATGTCTTGAACTGCAACAGCTGTATGCTGAGTAAACAAGAGTGAGACTGTTGTTAATTATAATGCTTTTAAAAATGAAACAAAGTCTTAGAGATGTAGCTTGGGCCAAAGGAAAATCCAAAAGATGAATGTATATAAATAAATGTGTTACGTATGTAGGTACAGGTGGGTGTTTATCTGCACAAGTTGTTCTGGTTTACAGAAACTTTCTGAACTATTTCAAGGATTTTGCAGAAGGTCTTCAAGCCAGCTTCTCTCTTGAATGAGACAAGCTCAGAGAAATTAGAAAATTATTAAAGACTGAAGGAAGATATGTACTTAAAATTATGCCACTGTAAGAATCTGGAATTTGAGTGGTATTTGCCAAAAAACACAGCGACTTGAAGACATGAAATAGTTTTATGAATAATGTAGTGGCAGGGCTGTCTTTTACATAACACCAGCAGTGTTTACACATCTACTCCTACATCAGGAAAAAAAAAAAGTGAATAAATTTTCTTTCAAATGCATACAAAAGTCCAAAAAGCAATTGGTTACTGGGAAAAGCAATAGAGTAGGCAAGCTGAGCTGAAAACAGTAGTTTTCATATATTTTTCCCATTTCCAAAATGTTCAGGGGACTTCAGAAGAAGCTCAGAATACACTAGGTAAAAACTCTAAAGCAGACACTGGAAATTTGCCAAAAATGTGTATCATGAGGTAACGACAGGTTTGTGAGTAAGTGTTGTGAAGCACAGAAATGGAAGTGTGAAAATTTCACCCTGATCTCTGTTTTCATCCCAGCATGTCGAGTTGTAGATGTTGATTCCCATTCTTACCAAGTCACATGCATGATTTCCTCTCCGCATTGTGTGTGCAGCACTGAAACCATGCTTTGTCACGTCTCCAGGTTCCTCTCAGTTTACCCCAAACCCCTTTTTTCTGAGCTCAGCACTGCAGCACCAGCACTCTGCAGCTCAAGAAAAGCAATTGTATTTTTATATTGCCTTGGGCATCATCAGCAAAATTGGCAGACTGTCTGTAGGGACAGTTTGTGATATTTTGTGTGCGTGCACGGTCGTGCCTCTATGTGAGCGTGCGTGTGTTTATATAAAGCAGAAAAGAGCACAGTTTGCTTTTTAGGTGCCAACTTGACCTTGTGGTGGCAGCTGTTCGAAAAGCAAGTATCTCATTGTGAGTTGTAAATTGAACAACTTGTTATGGAACTACTGAAGGAGACTAAATTTGAAATGCCAAGATTATTATACAACTTTTATCAAGAGAGAGCATCCATCAGTCACAGAGATAAATTGGGCTTTAAAGAGCTTTCAAATATACGTGTCCTCTTACTGACAACTGTAGAAAGTTGCTGGAGTGGTGCGGAGCACCAGATTGGACCTGCAATATGCCTGTAAGGTTTTCATCCCTGTTTTGCTGAAGCTGAGAGGTAATTCTTATCCTTCTATGGAACCACTTAAGAGCACCCTCAAGAAGTAATACCCAGCTGTGCTGACCACATACATGTTTTCAACAGCAGAGGCTTGAGGTTCCCATGGTGAACCAATGGTTGCAGGGAGGGGAGAGCTGTGAATTCAAACTCTAAGGCTTAGGAATAAACCCCACATTTTTCATGGCCTGGACAAATTCTTTAACCAGCCCACCATTAGACGAAAGCTCTTCCTCCTGCCTCTTCAAAGGGAGGAGTGAACCATTCGTCTTGACAGAGTGAAGCTAGCTGGTGCCTGAGTGGAAGAAGGAACGCATTTCATGCGGACACACACCTTGGTGTTTCAGCCAGTATCTTCATTTAGAGCAGAGACAGAACTGCAGACCTACCCTTTCCTTAGCATTTTCCACTGATCCCTGATGCGCCCTGTACTCTGCGTCCCCTCTCTCTGCCCCATGCAGCATTCTTGCTGCTGTGGATACAGGTACTTAGCTTTCCTTTTTGCAGATTTTTTGGGTGCACAATGAAGCAATGCAAATTCTGGTCCTGGAGCCAGAGGCTTAACTTTCAGCCCCCAGATGGGTTTGAAAATATCATTCTTAATCTCCTCATTCCTGTCTTCACATCCTGTTTACAGATGGGATAGTTTAGACTTAGCCATGTAAGAGGGATAATATAACGCGTTTCTGGGATGTTTTGTAACATCTCAGGTTCTAGACAAATGTAAAATATTGCTATTCATATTCACAAATATTTGATGGTAGTTTGTATGTGACTTGGAGAAAACTTAGGCAATAAAAATCCACTACACTGCAGTTCTATTATAATTCTGATATAGAAGGTGTCTTTGACCACCAGTTGTTGTTGAGAGCAGCATTGTAATGGGCACTGACTGCTAAAAGGAGTTAAGCACCTAAATGCATGTGAAAAATCATACTACAGAGTCTGTGCGTTTCCCTAGACTCCATAAAACCTTTAAACATTCAGCCATAAAAATCTTCCTTGAGCATGTAGGTGGGGCAAAAAGACCCTTAATGTGCTAAATCCACACCCCATCAAAGCTTGTCAATAAATTGAAGTGAAGGAAGTGATTATGGCGGGATGTAATATATGTGTTTTCAGGCTCTTTCACAGCTTTTTGTGTAGTGCCTTGATGCATAATGTTACTGCTGCTGCGCCGCAATTAACATCAGTAGATGGTTTCACCCCACAACTACAGATGAAATCCTAGTGAGGCAGCAATTGCTTGGTGAGCTGGACAAAGTATTTCCACTTTCCCAAAAGGTACAGCATTTTTGTAATTCATTCTGCCAAAAGAACAAAATGTTTGCTCTGTACTTGCTTTTGCTGTTGTACTCTGATCTGTCTTGATTACAGAGTAAACCTATTTTTCTTTTTTCTTTTCCTCATTTTTCCTCTAGTCCCATGCTGTCTACAATTCATAGAGATTTTAAATTGTTCTTATTATATTGAAAGGACAGAAATATTTAGAGTTTTTAAGGAGAAACACTCCCCCACCCCCTTCTAGCTTCGAGGGCTATTTGAAATAACCACATCTTCAGCCTTTCACCTAGAGTACTGAAAACTCAATACAGAACAGTTTACCATGTTCAGTGCTTTCAGCTGAGACCTGTGAACTGGTGTACTCTGCTCACAGCTAATAGATGGAGCAGGGTTTATGTCGATGGTAAGGCGTTTTGTGTTGCTTATTCATCCTCCTGTGCCCAGTGCAAGACCGCCCTCTCGTGTCAGGAGCTTTGCGTGTGCTCAGTCTGTTATGTGCCCCTCAGCTAAGGGAGTATAATCATTCATTCGACTAAGCCTGGAGAAAGCAGTAAATAAATATATTTGATGATCAGAAGTGTTCCTCCCAATTCATATGCATAATGTGTTCTGCCAATTCACGCGATAGCTTCTTTCTCTACCTTATGTAATATTTGGATTAAAGGAATTCTATTTAAAAGTTTAAATATGTTCCCTGTTAATTGATTTTTACTTTCTCTCTCCCTTAGCTATGACTGTCCGGAATGGAGGAAATGTGCTGGTTCCTTGTTACCCCTCTGGAGTAATATACGATCTGCTAGAGTGCCTGTATCAGTATATTGACTCTGCTGGACTCTCCAATGTCCCTTTTTATTTCATCTCACCTGTTGCCAACAGCTCCCTTGAGTTCTCCCAGATCTTTGCTGAATGGTAGGTGTTAAAGGGCTGCTTCATCAGCCTCAATTCACACACTCAGCTATGGTAAATAGATATATGGAGGTTATCTCTACTTGACATATTCTAATATATACTTGATTAGAATTGTGAACACGTTTCTTGAGTCAAAAGGGTGTGCGTGCATGTGTAAGTAGATGTTCTATAATTAGGGAAGCATAGTTTCCTATAGAATATACAAACTCAAATAATCTGTCCTTTTTGGTACTTGCACTGATGATTAAACGATGAACTTGACTTGAGTGAATTTTAGCTGTGCCTGTTTGCACGTCTTATCCAGGGCTCCCAAAACTAAACCATGGTCTTCCTGTATAAGCAAAATAGATTTTTCAGGCTTAATTTTGCTGAGCCAGCAGTGTATATCTGTGGCAAAAAAAGGCTAAAATTATCCTGGGCTGCATTAGGCAGAGTAGGTCAGGGAAGGTGATCCTTCTTTGCTACGCACTAGTGAGGCTGCGTGGACAGTGCCATGTCTTGTTTTGAGCTCCCCAGTACAAGAATAATATGGGCTTACTGGAGTGAGGCCAGCACAGGGCCAACAAAGCTGATCTTTCAGATGAGGAGATGCTGAGAGGGCTGGGACTCTTCAAGCCTGGAGAACAGGAGGCTCGAGGGGATCTTAGCAATGTGTAGAAATACCTGATAGGAGGAAATAAGGATGAGGGAGCCAGACTCTTCTCAGTAGCACCCACCCACAGCAGCATGTTGAGAGGCACAAATTCAAACACAAGATTGC